GGCTTGTTTTACAACGTCGTTGCCAAGCGACGAAAACCCAACCCCGATGGTAAACCCCGGAGGGGGCGAAACAAGGGAGGAGGGGGGGAATCCGAACAATATTTCGCGCAGTGCACGCGCATGTTCAAATCGTGATACGTCGTGCAAAAGCCAGAGTTGATAGCCGAAACGTGATGTAGGGCCGCTGTACACGCACGTGGAGTCACCTGCACGGTGTACACATACATTTTGTAGTTGAATCTGAGTCCAGCCGGCTCCTCTCTGCGCCACAGACGCTCAAAGGTGCAGCTGCCTGACTACAGTAGATTTTTCCCTGCTCCTGCGTCCTTTTGGTCCTGGCTGATGCGTAAAATATACCTTAATACAAACAAGACTGACGTCCATGATAAATGGGACGATACAACACTCACTCTTGTACGCACGGACAAACCTTAACCTTCTGCTGATGATGGGTGGTAGGCTCTCTCGCGGGAAAAAACATGATTGCATGACCTGAGACGGCTTCTACACCGCGAAGGCTGGATTCATGCATTCATAGACGTTCGAAAACAAAGTTTGTTGTCGACTCACAGATATTGGAAGAGAGTCCCGTAGTCTGCGAGCACATCTTTTGCCCTACGGTAGGTATGGTACTGGTGAAACTGTAAACAAACATCGATCGAGCGTGCACAAAACATAGCATGCATGTGGTAGACAAACTACATCTACAAAAACTGTACATACAGTGCACCGGTGCCTAAGTATTTCCATTCCTGTGCGATGCTTGCAGCATGACGATAGACCATGATCGACTCTGCGGGGCCGTTGTTTTGGCGCTTCAATTTTTTGGATCTTCGTTTTCTCTCGCTTGCTCCCAACTGGCTCTATCTGAGATCTGTTTCGAGAAAAAACGCCTGGGTTTCGCGCGCTTTGTCCTCGTACCCGCCCACCCGCCAGCCCCCACCCACAAACATACATACCTTACTTCAAAGGTTCAGCTTTAAGCGCGCAACACAACATCACGCAAGGCACTCTCCGTGCAGAAGACAATCCCAAAGACATGTCATCAGGTTATGGCGACAACAGGCTGCTGGGCCTCGACCCCTTCGGGCGGTACACGAAAGAGATGTCGGTGACTGCCGGCATGCTCTGCCTGTTCGGTTTCATAAACCTCGTGCCGGGCGTCTACGATCTCTGCTTGTCGACCATTGATGGGCAAGACTGGTCGGGAGACAGCGACGTCTTCCCTCCCGTCGTCCGCCACCTGGCAGCGCTCATTCAGGTCTGTCTGCGGCGTGTGCACTAGGATTGGTTGTCTTTTGATATGCATCGAAAGCCTATGCTCTCTGTCTTATGTTGAAAAAATATTCGCCGAATATTATTGTTCTCAGCTAGATCGAGCGAAAGGGCTATATCGAAGGTGTTCTGCCGGGCGATGATGTTGTGTCTGACGCCATCTTCTCTTGACGTGAAAGCTCGAGATCATTATGGCGTCGTGGCATGCACCATTGCTGTACCAAGCTGGCGGCGCGCCGGGAAAAGGGGATGTTGAACTACAGTAGTGGTCAACACTATGTGTTTGCAAGCAAACTGGCTCCATTCAAGTCGGAGATAATTTCGTTCGTACGGTTTCGACTGGCTTTTTATGTAGTATACCATACCTTCTCGGATCCCCATGCCCAGCCAGCAGCCCCCTCGTGCCAGCGTTACAACCCCCACAGCGCTGTATGAGGTTGAATATTGCGGCGTAGGCTCATTTACATTGGTGATCTAATTGCAGCCGAAGAAGACCAGCTACTAATTTAGTTGCTTTTGAGCGACCAAAAAGAGTGGTCGCTGAGGGTGAAAGCAACGTTGAAGATACAGCAGTGGATACAGGATATGTCTTTTCGTTCGTGTGTCAGCTGCCGCAAAACTTCGAAACTCACCACCGTCATCGCGACGGTGTGTTGTCTATTGTTTGAGGGCACTTCGCTGACTGATGGGATCCATTCACATGTCGCCTGCCGCAATGTCTGAAGCACATCCAACCTTGCTACCTTGTTGACACCGGTATGTAGTCTATCGCTGTACATGTGGAATTTGCCGGGCCCAGTCGCACATGGATTATCCCGAGATCCCCGCCTCGCCTGCCCTCCCACGCCTATTTACTGCTGTAGCATGTCAACTCACCCCGCGAACGCAGGAGATGGTGTAGCAAGGTTTTCGTCGCCTCGCTTGCGCAGATGTGTAGTCAGGTGCTCTCAGCACCCAGCATCGCTCGTGGTGCCGGCTCTGGAAACTGACATTGTTGTTCCCTGTACAATCTATAGCAGCTTGAAGGTAACATCTTCCTGTGCAAGAACAAAAAAATAAACTTGTCTTATTTAGACTAGACTAGACTACAACTTTCGGCTGCTCCTACCACAGACTACAAACTTGCGGCGAGTGTTGCTTGTGTTGCGAAGCTGGACATTTCCACAAACACAGAAACTGGATGTCTTGGGTGATGTACATTCTGACGTCACAAGCGCGCCGTGGAAACCAGTAACTTCCTATCGTTGGACATATTTTCAATCGAATGTTTGGACTTTGCGTTGTCTTGTCTTTTGGTTTGTGGTCTCAACAGCGTGGTTGTCGTCTTTGATGCTAGCGTCTGAGGTGCTGGACCAACCGTCGGTGTCGTATGCCTAATAGCTCACATCGTCATCATGATGTGAGTTGGTGGCGCACCACTCGTAGGTACACCGCTCCCGGGATGACCGAGATACTACCCTCTCCTCCTGCATGCGATCTTCAACTCGCCCAGAATTCTTTACATCACACACCCCTCCTCTCAAGTCTAGCTCCACATGCTATGCGTGTGCCCAGATCACCTTCAGCATCGTGTCGATGGCCGTCGGCTTCCAGTACCTTGTTTGCGGCGGAGCTTGCAGCCACTGGACCATGATTTCCTTGCTCTGCTCGTTCTTCTCGCTCTTCACCTTCGCCGTGTCCGTCGCCTACACCGGGTTCCGCTCCGCGAAAGAGAGCTTCGACTTCATCCCCTCCGAGTACGGAGCTTCCACCTCTGAGGTGAAAACCACAGAGTAGTTAAAAAAAGAGACTACAACTATGTACATGTAACGTGTTACAGTAGGAACTCGAGTTCTACGGTAGTCTATGTAATCTCTTACTACTAGACTCCTTTTTTTGTAGTCTAGGACCTTCCAAAAATTATGGTGAACGCATGAACGGTACAGTATGATGGCAGTACTTGTTCTGTGAATACAGTTATGTAGCGCCAGCACTGTAGAACCTCTAGGTTGGGCCGAGGCGGTGTTCGTACTGCTGTAGTTCCTATGATCATGCGACGAATGACCACTACTACAGTAGTACATAGACGTGTTTTGTTTTAGTTTCTTTTACATCGAGCGCACAAATGGTGCTCACGTTCTTACTTTTAGGTGTAAGAGGCTTTTTTAGACTAATTCTCAAGGGTCTGAAACCAAGGAGTTTTGATGCTGGCTCTTTTATCATACTTGAATCTACACATATATACCCACAGAATGGTCGCCGTGTCGTGACACATTTCTTAGGAAAAATAAATACACACACAGAAAGACTACCCGTTCGAGATATACCCACATTCGAACGGGATGTGGTGGAGCCTTTTCAGTGAGTGGAGGAAAACCGGCTGGGTACGGACTTGTTTCGAGTCTACATTAGTCTATACACTGATGATTTTTATCGGTGATACCAGCTGGTGCCAGGTTCAAAAATATCTGTAAAGGTAACCTGCATTTTACAGAAAAAAAATCAAACGATTTCACGTCCCAACAGTAGACTAGTGACCAGACATCGACCAAGAACGTTTGCCCACCGTGACGACTATGAATGACTGGATGGGATACCCCTACAGTACGACGACGAAGCATACTCCAATGCGATGCGAACAATCGTGCGCTTGTCGTGCACCTGTCACATGATTCTGCCGACCAACAGATGCACGTATACGTGTCGACATACAAGCTTCGGGCTAGGGTCGTAACGTGGTAATTTCTCCTTTTCGTCGCGTCATGGCGTCATTTCGTCGTGTTGTATATTTCCCGGCAACAGAACCGTTCCGTCGCTTCGATGATGGCCATCGCGTACGTCGCATACGCGATTAACAACTTCGTCGCTCTCGTCTACCTCAACTACAAGGTACGGCCTGGGTGCGCTTGCGTAGTGCTTCATACCACACAGCGCGACAGGCGGCTAAGAGAATTGACGGTGCATACTTTTTGGGTTAGTCTATGCTGTTTTTGTGTGGTGAACAGGTGCGTGCGCCGTCTTGAACAGAGTGCGCGTGCTTCCACTATGTAACGCACAGTAGCTCGCTGTTGTTGCTGTCGCTGATGGTTTCGTGGTTGTGGTGGTGGTCGTCGTTGTTGTTGTCATGCATGTCTCCATCCCTTGCCACGTACGGTCATTCTTGAAGCTACAGTTTCCACAACCTGGACACGTGGAGGGTGACGATAGTAAGCCCGCCTTGTCAGTTTCTTGCACGAGATGCTGATTTGTTCCTTGGTCCTGCTAAAGAAAAGGACAGGATTCTAAGACAGACCTGATTCCGTAACCTCGATACACGGTGCATGCGTATGCAGAAATTGCCATAATGGCACTCTCCTCACTATCACCGGTCACACCGGCCAAGAAACCGTTCGCCCCACTGGCTGTGCATCCCTCCCTCTGCTATTGGCTCCCTTCTTGTTTGAACCAGATGTTCATGTACCAGTCCGACCAGTGGGTGGGCTTCAACCGCGGCTTCTACAAGATGGCCCTCATGTTTGTTGGCCTGCTCACGCTCCTCGCCGGCACTGTGCAGCTGGCTCTCGGGGCCTACGTCTTCGACAAGGTTTGGACAGTGCTCTTTTCTTACCCTCACCGATTAGACGATGAGTACGATCCGTTCAACACGCAGGATCGTTTCTCGGAGCGTTGAACAGCTCAAGATTTTACCGATTGGACGCAGATTTGCTTTTTTGTTGGTCGGGTTCGGGCAACCTACGCGTGAGTGTGTTCTGCATGGATACGTTGACAATAAGTTCACTTCCGCATCCAGTCGTCTACTGTGAGTTTACGATTATTCAGGTCTGGGCACTGGCAGGCGACCATCGACCGCTTTTGACGGCGTTTGTTTGATAAGCGCGCGACCTATTACCTCGGTCCAAGGCCTCCGGTCTGCCGCTTGATGACTCAATAAAAAACGAGCAAAAAGAGCAACTGTGCTTGTGTCAAAACGGTTGGGAGTAAACACTACCGTCGTCCCGTTGGTTTCACGGGGCGTGTTCCCGTCACATGTTCCTAAATTTCTCGTTCTGTTGGGACTTGCCATCCCACTGCCTCCCTGGTTATCAACGTGAAGGCACAGAGAAATCAGTAGCAAGGTTTTCATTTGTTTACCTTGAATCATCAGGTTGGTAGGCACCCTGTCTCCATTTCCGTCACCCTCGCTCCTCGGTCGTTGGCTCGGCTTAGCGTGGTCGGCGAGTATCAACCCTCCTCACCCCAACCCCGAGTTCAGTAACGTTCAACGGGGCAACACCATGATATCGAGCACCCTCAAAATACCGCTCTCCGCCCGAGACAAATCGCACGATTGGAATGTCACCACAAACACGCACACGCACACGACGCATAGGTGGACGAGGACCGGCTGTCGTCCCCCCTCGGCGCCATTTTCTTGAGCGGCCCGTTGCTCGTCACGTACTCGAGGCTGGCCATGGCCTTCGGTGCCTTCCAGCTTGTCCTCGGCTGCTACATTATGTTCCGCGCCACCCAGGCAAGTTCTCGAGTCTAAAGGGGCGTTCGCTACTTCCCAAAAAATTGTAGCGTTTCCAAGTTGCGGGAGAAAGATAAGCGAGTTCGAAGGCAAAATATCTGGAAACTTTCCAAAATGTCTGAAGCTACGGTCCCTAGGTTTCTGGGCCCTCCACCTCACTTCCAAATTTTTGCAAGTAGAAAACTTGGATTTTTTTAGCGCATAACAACGTGCCCGTGTTTGTTTCGCGGTTCAACGTTAGCATAGGAAGAGGAGTGGTGTTTTATTTGACTGTTGGCGGTTGTTCGTTGATTTCGCTTCTTGCTTTGCTTATGATGCCGTCGCTGCGCTTCATTGTCGACGTTAAGCGACACCTCAACATGTTGTTGATGGCACTGCTGCCTGCACTAGTTCGTCGATCAATCGGAAACTAAGCCTCGTTCAAACTCACTTTTCTTCCTGTTGCCGAGCAGAAACCTTCCAGCGGGAGCGGGGAAAACGCCAAGGGTCTTCAGGCGTTCCAGTTCGCCGCGTGGTTCGTGCTTGTCCTCAGCATCTGCATCCAGGTGAGGGGCTTAACGAAGCAGGAGCTCATCAAACGCGTGTTGGGGAGTAGAGTTTGCTATACTCTTACTGGATATCCAGTGGGTGATTACAGGCACGCGTGGAGGGGTCACGAAAGCTGTACGATGGAACGAGCAGCAACGGTCTAATTCTAACGGCCCTTCCTCCAGACCACGTTGACGAGGTATCCATCCCTATCATGCTTGGACCCCGCACTTTAACTCTTTGAAATTCCGCAGCAGTCGTTTTTGGCCAACACCTTCAGGTATAATGTTTGATTCATGGCGACAATTGTGATCCCCTTTCTCCGGTTTAGGTGCTGTCCCAAGTGACGATGAGTTCGACTTCCACCAACAACGTCGACGGCCACGCCGGCTTCGCCGCTCAGGCCGTCGCCTATGTTGTCGGACTCGGCCTGTTCCCCATGTACCTCGATGGTAAGCAGCCAAGCTTCCTTTCAGTTGGTGTCGCGTGTCGAAAGGCGGGCGTTCTACAAGCACGGGTTAAGACCCGCACAGGCTTCACCTGCTTGAGCTCGTCGTCGCCGCTTTTGCGTGTTTGGTCGTTTCTCGAACTAGTCGGTGCACTGACAGCATTCAGTTGCATAGCCTTCTCGATTGTTGACAGTCAGCTTTCTCTCTTTACCCCAAAGCTTGCTATCGTCGTTGGCCGGGCGCCACGGAACTGTCCAGTTTTGTCGTTGCTCGTGTTGCTCGTACAAAGGAGAACGGTTCCCGTTCTGTGCAGGCTTGGTCTATTCCCGTGCCCTTCGACGGAAACTCGTGGTTGTCCTCCAACGCACCTTGATCGTTTGGACAGCCATACTCCAACCAGAGCAGCAGCAAATCCCTCCTTCCAGAGAATCTTCCATATAGCTAGATTACATCACAACGAGCGCCGTACATGTGATTCGCCTGGCCCCCCCTGCCCGTCTGCCCTACGACATGATAGTCCACGCGGCTGTACGAAGCGATCCTTCCGTTTCTCCTCCGCATCACGGCACAACACACACGACTGCGTTGTAAACACATCCACGGGCGATACCGCGTGAGACGCATTCCACGACCCCCCCCCCCCCCCCCCCCCCCCCCCCCNCCCCCCGCCCCCCGCCCCCCTCTGGTCCCTTCTACCGAAGAATATTATTCTGAACACTTGCACTCCTCCGAGGGGACCTCAGCTGCATCCATATTTTCTTCGAATGTGCGATCATGTTTCTTCACAGCTCGGTCATCTACCTATCTACCGTGCACACGTTTGCCTGCCCACTCCACGCAGCCATGTACTACACCACCCCCGAAACCATCGACCAGAACGACTTTTGTGGCGACGTCAGCACGTGGAGCAAGGGCAAGGGCGATATCGAAGAACGCAAAGTGGAGTCGGCCAGCGTGGAGGCACAGGCAGTCGCTGTTCCCAACGCCTAAACACCGCGGTGCCACCTCCTACGGCCGCCACGCGCAATCATCACGGGATCCCGGCCTCAGTCGCATTGGGGATTGGTGTTGTTGGGGTATACGGTTAGATTGCGCCAGCTCGGTCCCATCTTCCGCGTATATATTGCTTCCTGAGCATCGTCTCAAGACAACGTTTTTCACATACGCTTGGGGGGGGATCTGTTGTAATGTACATACACCGCACGGGCGCAGGGGGATATAATGGGGAGGGTGTGGAATGAGTGCACTCCGGAATGCCGTATGTTTATTCCGGAAGGGGACATTGGGGATTGGTGTTGTTGGGGTATAAGGTTCGAGGTTAGATTGCGCCAGCTCGGTCCCATCTTCCGCGTATATATTGCTTCCTGAGCATCGTCTCAAGACAATGATTTTCACATACGCTTGGGGGGGATCTGTTGTAATGTACATAAACCGCACGGGCGCAGGGGGATAGAGGGGGGTGTATCCAACCATCAATGAGTGCACTCCGGAATACCGTATGTAATGTCGATTCCCGTTGAAATGTAGATGGGCAAAGGGGAGTAGGATTGGCAAGAAACGCTTCTGTAATTCACACTGCAGTGGCATGTGCTTTGCCGATCATTTCTATGTGAATTACAGAAGCGCTGCAGTAGGGTTTCATTGCATCTGCAAGAAGTGGTTTGGAGTCGAGAGAAGACCCGTTCCACGAATGCTTCGTTTTGTGGGCGGCTGCCTGTGCTTATTTGATGATAATTTGATGATAAATAATGTATTTTTAGAAATTTAGAAACGGTGAGTATGAGACGCGTTGTTCGTTAGCCCACATGGCGCTTAGTTGACAACGTCATGGATGGGGTGCGTTCGATACGACTTCATTGCCGTCGTCGGAGCAAACGTATCTTGTCACGTTGCTGATTATGGATGCAGTTTGATTGGCTTAGCAGCATGGGGGGTTGGGAACCACGAATAATCACCACTGACGGGGTGAGGGCTACAAATATCGTCGTGCGATCGGAAACCGTGAGCTCCTCCTACGAGACAGTCGATCCTTCTTTAAGGACGCTCACGTTAAGGAAACTCCCCGCTTGAAGGAAACTATTTTTGCTGAGCACCAGGGGGCCCGGCAGAATATATGATAAAGGGGTACCCCCATTTTTCTGCCGCGTATCCCCCATATTGTGTCCTGCGGGCCGCTCTTTGCACACCCACGCACCACAGTAGTGAGTGCAGAAGTAGCGACTCACAGACAGCACAAGTAGCGAGAGGTCTGCGGCTGCAGCTGTAACTGGGTGTTGGTATCAGGGATGAATTCCTCCCATCTATCGGCGGTCCATCTGATGCCGCCAAAAAAAAATGTTGTGCATAACCTCGTCCCTCACCGAGGGCGAGGTTATTTATCACTCGCTTGGAGGACGCTCGATCCAATGCATATTTGCACGCGAAGGGAAGGGGTGACGAGTACCGTGAGACGAAGTACCTTCTTTTAAAGACCGCTCATTCGTTCCCTCATGAAACTCAACAGAGCCGTAGAGCCAAGCCGCGGGGGGAGGTTCAGGGAACTCGTCGCGATATATATGTGGAGGGAAAAGCCGTCAGGGTAGCTTTTGGTCCCCGCCGGGACAGTGATATGTACTATGTACTGGTGTTCCTCGGTGCGACGCTGGAATACGCTCGTTTTTTTTGCTTAAGAATGAGATAAATTTATGTCTACTTGGACTTTCCTCCTCCTTCCGCAGCCGGCTATGCGGTACATTAGTTGGCCAAGTACAAAATGGTAGTTGTTTTTCGACACGTCCCGACTGCTGTACATCTCATTTTAAGCACTGTAAACATGTTCGACGTCAACAAGCGGTTGCCAGCCGTCTCGGCGATGCTGACTTTCCGTACCACACCCTTCCCTAGCAAAAGACGCGTAGATTGAGGTAAAGCATGCCTCCATTGGCCCCGGGGATGGTGAGCTATCGTCCCCTGAATTCATAGGACGCAACCCCGCTTTAAAGACGCAACCCTGTTCCTTCTTTCCGTGCACATCTAGTCTAGACCCTCCGGATCCTTGTTTCTTTGGTTAGATTCTGTTTTTCTCCCTCGGCAAAAGGAACAGATATCTTCTCTCCTTGAACCCCTCATTGTAGACTATACCTTCTGTTTCCAGTGTATCACCGTCGTCAATTTCGAACTCCTAAAATGCGTCATCACTCGGCGGGTTATCTACCCCGCTTCTTGATTTCCCACTTCACCTCCCAAGCTATTCTCGGCAAACTTTCCTCTCCCTTACCGTCCATGCGGTACTGCCATTTAGCTTTCCTCGCGTCTCTTCCCCTTCGAACGGATTGGATCCCCAGTTCTGCCCTGACGGCTGCACTAGTCCACTTGTGTGCTCGGAGCGTCCTCGGATGATTATTACTGATCTACGCCGCCTCGAGCTCTTTGATTACCTTCTTATTTCCTGTTCGTATATGTCCTTTACTTGGAAGGGGAAGACGTTTTATCTCTTGTATTAGACACCCAAGGGGAGTAGGGAGAAGTGAAGCTCTCTTTGGAGTTCGAGGGGTCCCCGCACATGCAACCATTTCAAGGTGTACATATGCCCCATCTGCGTGCCCTCTGTTGTTGCCGGTAGATCTAACCAGTCCGTATCCAAACACCGAACACCCTCCCCGGTTTGCACGCGAATGGTAAACCTAACGTGGGGCATGGATACCCCTGATCTACCAAAGGGACTCAAAACAACAACAGACTCGCGGGAAAACCCGGCCAACCGGATCAAAAACCCTCGTCTAACACCCTAAATATAGAAAACCGTCGCTATCACGGAGGATTCCAACGGCCGCACTTCCAAGACAAGACCAAGGCAGGACAGATTGAACCGGTCACGCTGATTACACACCCGAAGCAACGCTCTCGGCGTTTCTAGGCTCCAGCTGCGGGTGACGCGCCGGCACAACGCTTCCTGCGTGACGTACCATGGTCATATATGCCAAGTGTTAAAAGCACCAAATAAACCAAACAGAACAAGAGAACACTACATCGGTAGGTTCATCAGAGCCTTCCGGTGGTACTCTCACTTCTCTCTGCCAAGGGCCTTGGTCAGCATGTCGGCGTGCTGCTCTCCAGTCGGAACATACTCTGCAGTGATCTTGCCCGACTTGAATAGCTCGCGAATGAAATGGAACCGCACGTCGATGTGCTTGCTCCTCGCTGAGCTGAACGGGTTCTCGATTAAGGCGAGAGCCCCCTTGTTGTCCTCAAGGACCTTGATCTTCGCCCCACTCGTCTCGGGCGCTATGAACGACAGAACGCCACGCACAAACAACGCCTCCTTCACGCTCTCCCCGGCTGCCATATACTCTGCTTCCGAGGTCGACTGAGCCGTCACTGGCTGCGTCTTGGTGGATGCACACACTACGGTACCACCTACGGTCACAGCTAGCCCGGTCGTAGAACGCCTGTCTACTTCGTTGTCAGCGTAGCTGGCATCGGCAAATACGCTTTGGTCTAGTCCTGACCCCCGTACGTAGGTGATGCCGAAGTCCTTCGTGAAGTTCAGGTAGGACATGATCCGCACAAGCGCGTTCCATATCCTCCCGGTGGGTGAGTGGGCGATCTTCTGGAGCTTGTTCAGAGGCAGGGCGATGTCTGGCCTCGTCAGCTTCGTCCACATCAGGCATCCGACGCCTCCCTCACAGGCTTATCCACCGCGGGCTCGTCATCTCTCTTCGGCCCTAGGTCGGCATCGGTGGCAGCAGGGGTGAAAGCGGTCGTGGTCACATCAAACCGCTTCAGCATACTCTCAATGTATGCTGTCTGGGACAGCTTGGTGATGCCATTTTCTACATCCATGGCGATAGCACACCCGTCGTACCAGGTACACTCCCCCAGATCTTTCACCGGAAACTTCTTGTTGAGGGAAGCGAACAACTCCTCTCGCTCTCCCTCGTCTGCCGCCACTAAGATGTCATCAACGTAGATCACGATGAGACCTACGACCTCTCCATCCACCACCTTCCGGAAGACACACGGGTCAACCCTGCACTGCTCGTATCCACTCTCGATGAGGGCATCGGCAGCTTCAAACCCCCATTCACGGCCACTCTGCTTTAGGGCCATACAGGGCACGCTTAACCTTGACCACCTTGCCGGGCATGTTACCATAGTCTTCCGGGAACCTGAGGTATATTTCTTTTTTTAGCTTAGCGTGGATGTACGCTTGCTTCACATCCCAGTGAGCGAGTTTCTTGCCCTTTTCAGTGGCTACGGCAATCACCGTCTTGATAGACGCAGCAGACGGGCACGCTGAGGATGAGTGGTGGAAGTCGGTGCCGGGGATTTGAGAGAAACCCCGCGCAACGATACGGGCCTTGACGTCGACTATGAGGCCCTTCTCATTCGTTTTCCAAGAGAACACCCACTTTGAACCTATGGCCTTCCGCCCCTCGGGCAGCTCCTTGACCTTGGTAAAGGTTCCAGTCTTGTCGTGGCCATCTATCTCTTTCTTCATGGCCGCCTCCCAGAAAACCTTGTACTTGGAACACATCACATCCTTGTACGTCATCGGTAGTGCTTCCAGCGTGCGGCTACTCTCAAGCCCATGGCGCAGCGGGCCAGCGTTCGAGGCGCCCCAGAGGAGTTTCTTCCCTTCTAGCGCGCGGGGGTAGCGGTCGTCGGCTGGATCATACTTCAACTCCTCGAGGTTCTCGGAGTCGCCGGGATCACCATCGCTACCGCCGTCCCTACCTGGGTCGCCGGACTCTTCGCCGCCCAGGCCGCCGGCACCGCCAGCGTCACTGCTGCTGCTGCTCGGGCTGCTGCTGTTGCTGCTGCTGCTGCTGCTGCTGCTGCTGCTGCTGTCGTCGGTGGGGCTGTCACTGCCTCCGCCGATGTCGCCCTTTCCCGAAGGGGGCGACGGGGGATCGCTGCCTCCGTCCCCCGGAATCCCGTTGCCGGGTGCCGTCGGCGCCTGCTCGCGCACAAACGGCGTCGCTTGCCCTGGCCCACGAGCCTCCATCACGTCGAGGTCGGACTCACTCTCTGAGTCTCTCTCCCCTCCCTAACCTTGGCGTGATGCATCCGCTCTGCTCTCGCCCTCCCAGCCCTCCTCGTCATCTGCGAGAGGTAGCAGCTGCGGGGGAGCGGGCGATGCAGCGGGCACGTGGCGCCATGTGAAATTGTGGGCGGTGAATACGGTTCCAGCTTCGGCTAGCATGCGAACGCAGTCACGGGGGTGATTGTGGGCAGGACCAAGGTACCATCCTTTTTCGCCCTTGGGTTGCGTCTCGACTTGAACACGGCTGGTTTGAGAAACGGGTATGTAGACCCGACAGGCGGTGGGGAGTCGCGGAACATCTCGTAGGCGGATTTGTCGCCCTCGTTTGATTTAGTGGCGGTGCAGTTCAGCTGATGGCATGCACACGAAATGGCCTCGGCCCACAACCCGGGGTGGTTCGGTGCGTCGGGGAACAGTTGCGTCGCTTGGATGCGTGACGCAAGCGCGGCATCAGTGATCAACCCTAGCGCTCTCTCCGCTACATCCTTGTATATTGGGGTGTGAGGGGGGGTGAACTCTTGTTTGATGCCGTGTCTGCGGCAAACTACTGCCCTTGGAACTCGCCGCCACCGTCGGTACGTGCGATATAAACCTCACACGGAATCCCTTTCGTTCGGTAGTCCGCCAGGAACTTCTCAAACCCAACCGCTGCGTCAGACTTGTGTTTCAAGAAGAAAACACGCGTCCAAGGGGGGAAATCGTCTCTGATGATCAGTGTGTACCAGTTGCCACCAATGCTCCTGGTTTTCATATTTCCCCCCAATTCGACATACACGCGAAATAACTTCTTAACTGCGCGTGTGCTCGTGCTCTTCTGGACGGGTTTCACCTGTCCCTTGGACATCGAACAGCCAAGACAGGGTAGCAGCGGTCCATCCGTCAGCTGCACTCCCTGCTGCTCCGCCGTGATCCTGAGCAATGTCTCGTGGGCATGGCCGTGCGCGAGGTGGTACTCGTTGAGGTCAGTGGGGTTGGCTGCTTTCGCATCGCCAGGAACAATGAGTGCGACGCAGTCAGTGTGTAGCGTTGGCTTTATTTGATAGCGTCGTTGGGTCAGCAGCTTTCCAGTCCGGGGGAACCACACCTCCTTTCAAGAAGAAAACACGCGTCCAACGGGAGAAATCGTCTCTGATGATCAGTGTGTACCAGTTGCCACCAATGCTCCTGGTTTTCATATTTCCCCCCAATTCGACATACACGCGAAATAACTTCTTAACTGCGCGTGTGCTCGTGCTCTTCTGGACGGGTTTCACCTGTCCCTTGGACATCGAACAGCCAAG